CACTAGATGTCTTTTCGTACTGCATCGATGATGCTGTATAATTATATAATTCACTTATTCCTTCTATTCGTATCATTTTCGACATAGGAAAGCTAACTCCATCGTTTTTCATAACGTGAATCTGTGTATGCTTTCATCTAGTAGCGCGCCACTTTAATATACCTAGACACCACTTTTATGACTGTCTTTTGCCCGTTTGGCAGTTAAACAGATGGTACCGGACTTTAGTAGGCATCCTGTATAACAGTTTTAATAACATAACACTTTAGTTATAATAACATGTTTAGTTATGTTAATTAAATGTTTAGTTAACATGCTTAGTTATAATAACAGTTTTAGGCTGCTGACCGCGCAAGCGGTTATTTAACTTGTGTAAAAAAATGTCTGTTTTAGTAAAAGTATTTATCTATTAAAGTGCAATAAGTATTTAACGAAATTTATATTTAAGCTTTTATCAAAAGGTAGCATTTTATTATCACTTTTCAATACTACTTCATTTAAGCAAAACTTATATGTAATTTTTCTTATGCCATTGTTTTTCCTCTAGCTTTAATATTTTTTATAAATAAACAATTTAGTTGATTTCATAAATATTCAAAACAACTTATGTTGAAAATATGAACCTGAATTCTCTCCTTTCAGACTTAAATATATTTTAACTGAATTTGTATCGACTTTTGTTTGTGGCAAGGTTCAGTTGTTATTATCATAAAGAGAGCATGACTGCATGCATTACTTATTATCTATTATTACATATTTCGTCTATGTTCTGTAATTTAAATTATACATTTGAAGAATCTAACTGGTTACATAAAGAGATTATGGTCCCCGGTTTGACATTTTAACTAGGCATTCACGTACGTTGAACACATTGCATTCGGAATTAATGCAGGGCTATGTGAGAAGAAAATTGAGTAAATTTCTGATGATCCACACCCCTATTAATAGAGGCGAACTCATTGACAAATTGAAGAAAAACCTTAGTTTGATTATCGTCACAAATTATGGGTATGCTCTATTCATGAACAATAATAAGAAAAAGAAGCAATGGTACTTACGTATTACCACAAACATATTTCGTAAGTGCACATCTGTATCGCTACCGAGGGAACGGCTTCTAGAATGGACTAAGATTTCTGACATTTCAAATGACCTTTGCTGCGCTTTAAACAAGATGGTTGAAAATGGTTTGCCATGCCATTTCCTGTACAAAATAATTTAAGCATCATGGATTTCTTGTGAAACTTTTCAGTGTGAAATTAGACTAAATATAAGCATAATTATATATGTAAATAGAAGAAGTATTAGCACTTTTTATCGCAGTCTGCATGGAAAAGATGTTCCATAATAATAGCCAATGCACAGTTTTATTCAAAGTGAACTTCTTTAATTTGCATTCCCATACGTTTAGTGTGTTAAATTTCATATTAAAAACTGTTAAGTCTTAAATGTAATACCTGCAGAAGAAATACTCTTCAAGCAGAATGAATTTATCTTATTAACAACGAATATATTTAATTTATTCATATATAACTTTTAATGTAAACAATAGGTATAATCAGATTATTCACAATATATATTTTGAATCTTTTACTTTCATGATCAAAGAGTGCAAGCATTGAAATAAGAAAACACTACATTCATTGTTACACTTCGAGTTATTCTCAGCTCAATTATAAAAAACATATATACACTTGAATTCTCTTAATACACGGGTGTTAGTAAATGCTAGTATTCGAGGCTAATTATAGCTTAAGTTATTTTCTCGATATATAGAGAAATAATTATCATCTACGAACATTAATCCGAATATCAGTGCGTGATAAGTTTCGCGAAATTGAAATGTTGTTGATTAAATAAACTTAATAAAACGAAAGCACTAAGAGATTTTCTACAAAAGTGATACGCCATACATTTATAACTACGAAACAAATGCGAAATAAAACACAAACATGCGCTCATATGTACAGTTTCAAGGATTCAGCATTACAAGAGTAACAGCAGCTCGCTGGTCCATTTTTGTAACTCCTCCCTCATTAGCGATATTGATGTGCACTTGTGATGTGCACTTGTGAAAGTACTGAAGCATTTTATAAGAAAGAAGAAATTTCTGACCAAAATGTATGCACTTAAGAAAAAGCACTGATAGCGAAATAACGGTTAAATATAAAACATGTAAATAAATATACGTAGCCCTTATAATATACGAAGACACGCGAGACTTAGATACGTATGTACTTAGACACGCGAGCGGTACGTGTATGAATATGTTGGCTACTGCTGTGTGTAGACTCGAAAATACGCCTAAATATGAGAATTCCACCAAACTTGAAACCAGAAGGGCGAATAATCAGAATGTATGGAAATAAGTTTTTCAAGAAATTAAAAAATAAATAAATAAATAAATAACTATAGAACTGTTTTACAAAAGATAAACTTCTTGGCTCAGAAAATTCATCAGGATCAGAGGGAAGAGTTTGCTTATGGTCTTATGGGATGTTTCAACGAGATTGTCAAGCCAGAGCCATGATGATGGCTCATGTTCGCGATGATGCTTCAAGGAAAATCCGAAATCAATCAAAAATGATATGGCCAAGTGTTATAAGAGCAAAGAGGGGGCATGCAAGTTTTTTCTCAGATTCAAGAATTGGTGATTTTGCAACCGTAAGTAGAACGATTAGAGAAGTGTGGCTGAAACTGCATGTGTAGTTTAAATAGAAGAATATATAAGCTCAAATATGCATGACACAAAAATCCAGGTGCCTCAAATATGTTAAAACTCTTCCATTAGATTATAAAGCAAATAATAAAGCATGGACGACTACGGATATTGTTACAGAATGGCTCAAGAAAACCGACAAAGCTATGATGAGAAAGAAAACCACATAAGTTTACTTTTTGTGCCTCCCATCTTCAAATGACAGATTTCTGGCAAAAAGTGAAGGTTATTTCCTTCCCGGCAAATTGCAACATTTAGATCTGGGTGACATTAAGAATTTGAAAACGTTCTACAGTCAAAGGTTGATGCAAATAGTCCTTCAAAATATAACTGCAGGATCCACAGAAATTTAAATATCCATGAGGTTATGAATATGTTTTGAACTCGGAGTGAAGTTAACATGTTGATGATGAAAATAATGATGATACTGTGATTATGATAAAGAACACAGGAAACTGCTGGGGTTAGACATTACAATCGAGGAATACGTAAACTATGCCAATCTCATAACTTCAGACTTATGCACAGTTGAAGAACTGATTGAAAAAAATTTACTAGATGAGCATTTAAGTAGCAGGAATGAAGAAGAAAATGGAGAAATAATTTCACGTTCTTTTCAAAATGCTACCTACTGCACTGACAACGTCAAAAATTTTTTTCTGTGTGATAACACAAGTCAGAAAATATTTCAAGAACTGAATTTGATTCGTAGCGCTTTGTTTAACATTCAGAATCAAAAGATACGTCAGAAAACAATCAAAGATTTTTTTCGTTAAAAAAAAAGGTAAAATTTGCTTTAAAATATTCTTGGGGGAAAAATTATACTTATTCAAGATGGTAATTCAAATAATGATATGACCCTTTTTTTTTTCAATTTTACATAATTACCTACAGAAAATTTGCATCCTTAGGGTTTTTTTTAAAATATTAAATTTTTATTAATATAATTTTTAAAGTAGTATTAATTACAAAAACATTGTTTAAAATTTAATATTAATAAAAAATTTTATTTTTAAAATTTTTATTTTATACTTATTTGAACATAGTTACTATTTTAAACAACTTGAAAGAAAGATAATAAAGTTATCTAATATCAGCAGAGGTTAGTAGCATCAAAATTATGCAGCTGATATAAATATGTTTCACATCGTAAATTAAAATTATGTTAATACATCTTTCTCATTTAAACGTTGTTTATGAATGGTCCCTTGAAAGACGTATAAACGGTGCTCCCCGTTTAACATTATTCAAAATGTGGGAAAATTATCCTGTTGTTGTAACTTATGATCTTTTTTTTTTTTTTTTTTCTTATTCTTATTATTTACATTTAATAACATCGATAAGTGAAAGTTTGCTTACCTTTCTTAATAAATATCCACAGGAACGCTTGGAATTCCTTTTTCATTTTTATCACACAGAAGTTTTATTTACAGCTATGTACAAGAATTGTATGCTTACATTAGAACATTCATCATGTTTTTCTGGTTGCCACTACATCTATCTCAAAAATCCGCAATGCGGTAAGAAAAATATAACAAGCTAAAAGTGAAAAACGCTGCGCCCTCTCGTGGCCAGCTACATAAACTGTAACATCCTCCCCCTCGATGAACTCTTGGTTCATCAAAAGATTGGATTCTGAAGTTATCTTAAACACTAAATGTTTTTAATGTTCTACAAAGTTTAAATGTTCTACAAGTTTAAATGTTCATAGATGCAGTGTTCGCAATTTAAGTTCATTGTATTCAGTTCAAAGAGTTCAAGTCATTTCTAATGGGTACAATAACTGCACAGGACGACGAAGATGAGTTCCATTAGCTAAACGGACAGTGCAAGCCCTTATTTTCCCATCTCGTCCTGGATGACACTCCTGTACAACTCCCATCTTCCATAATAATCTTGGTAATTTTTCTTCATGTACTAGAACTACAGAGCCTTTCAAAAGATCTGTTACGGCATTACCTCTCTGAATTTGTTTTCACGTTTCTAATTTCAAGTAAGTATTCTCTTTTCCATCTTTTCCAAAACTCTTTCTAATAACCTTAGCCGGTATTTATATCGCCTTGTTAAATTTTCTTTAGTTGAATCAGGTTCAAGAATTTTGCCAGATGGTAAGGATGTCAGTCTTCGTCCAACTAGAAAATGAGCTGGCGTCAGCGGTTCTGGTTTCTCCAACTTCACTATAAACATAACGTCAGTGGACACGAATTCAATATCGCCTCAATTTCAATTAAAACTGTTTCCAGCTCTTCAAATTTAAGTGAAGCCTTCATGAGTATTTTCTTCAAACATGACTTGATAGATCTAACAAGCCTTTCCCAGAAACCGCCTTCTCCACATTGAATTTCCACTCAATACCTTTATTACCAAAATAATTTTGAACTTCAGTGCCCTTGATGGTATTCCATAGTTTTTGTAAATCCTTGTCTGCTTTTTTGGAGGTTTTTGCATTGTCTGAATATATTATTCGACATACTCCTCTTCTTGAAATAAATCTTCTAAAGGACAGAAGAAAATTGTTTGCTGTTTGGCTAGACACAAGTTCCAGATGCACTGCTCTGGTTACAGCGCATGTATACAGAGCAATATAAGCTTTCCCAGTTTCATCCTTTGTACTCATAGGACCAGCAAAATCAAGTCCTACAACTTCGAAGGGATTTGCCTCTGTTATTCTTTCGATTGGTAAAGGAGCGATATCCTGACTTAGTGGCTTAGCTTTAAATCTGTAGCAAATCACACACTTGTTAATATTACTCTTTACACGCTGTCGACCCTTAAGTATCCAAAATTTTTCCCTAATTTGAGTTAAAGTTTCAGCTACACCAGCGTGTGCTTGCATTTCGTGACAATCTTTAATGATATGATCTGTGAAATGAGACTTCTCAGGTAGTATTGCTGGGTATGTTTGATTATAGCTTAACCCAGCATTTTGAAGCCTTCCTCCTTACTCTGAGTATTCCATTTGAGTCTACAAATGGATTTAATGTAAATATTTTCGAACTATGTATGCTTTGTTTCATCTTTAATTTCCTTATTTCTTCTCTAAAATTTTCTTCCTGAGTTTTCTTGATCCAGAAATTCTGCTTCATTCATCTCTTCAGCCTTAACAGGTCCAATTCTTCTTAGTTTTGGGTTTTTCAAATTATTGATAAATCTGAAAACATAAGATGTTATTCTATATACTTTTTTATGTCACTAAAGTTCTCGATAGGAATGATAGGTTCGCATTTTCAACAATACAGTTTTGCTGTTAAAAATTTCTTGCTTCTTTCCTTTTCGTTTCTCAGAATTTGTTATTTTATCATCTTCCTTAAAATTTCTCGAAGATCTGGGCCAAACGTTGTTATCTTTGACAAGCCAAGGTGGGCCATACCACCACAGCTCATTTTTTGAAAGGGTTTCTACCTTCTGTCCTCTCGTCAATAAGTCCGAAGGATTCTCATGGCTGGGACAATAATTCCACCAATCTGGATCAGTTTTCTCTTGGATTTCTAGACACCTATTTCGTACAAATTGTTTCCATTTTGTCGGATCAGCCTTGACCGAATATAGCAATGTAATACAATTTCTGAATCTGAATATAAATAAAATATAAATTTCCACATATAAATCTTCATTTCTATGTTTTTCAACGAATGTCGGATGTATGTGATGAGTCGAGCTCCTATGACTGCTCCTAAAAGCTCCAGTCGAGGTAACGTAACCCTTTTTATGGGAGCAACTCTTGCTTTGGACATAACAAATGATGTTTTTGTTAACTCATTTTCATTGTATCTCAAATATACAACGGCACCATATCCCTTTTGGCTACTATCTGTAAAACAGTGCAATTGAATATTCGACAGATTTCCTTTTGACAGATTGTTGAAATAATGTCTTGGAATTTCAACATTTTTTAATTTAGGAATTTCATTATACCAGGTTTTAAATCGATTCTGCAATTCTTGATCAAGTGGTGCATCCCATTGGTTAACCTCTTTGCCAACATTCTTGCATCATCATTTTAGCTGCAACAACAAAGGGAGATATGAAACCGATAGGATCGTATAGTTCGCCCGCAACTTGAAGAATCTTCCGTTTTGTTATTTCCTCAGCCGGATCCTTGAGTAATTCATCTTTGATTCGAAATTTCAGTTTATCTGCTTCATGATTCAAATATATCCTAACAAAGTGCTATTCATTCCGTCTCCATTAAACTTCGTATTTTCAGCTGCATTCCAAATCGCATGTAATTGGGCGTTATTGCTCCTCCACTTTCTCATATTGAAACTAGCAAGCATCATAATCCTTTTCACATCTTCATAAATTTCTGCAGCTTCTTCTTCATCATCTGTACCATGAATCAAATCATCTACGTAAACATTTTCTTCAAGAAGCTGACAGATCTTCGAATATTGTGCTTTCAACTTTCTTGCGTGATGCTTTATAGTTGCTGCTAGTAAAAAGGGGCTACAGGTTGCTCCGAATATTAGACGCGTCATTCTTAAAATTGTCGGTTGCTCCTTTTCCTTTGAAGTCCAAAGAAATCTTACTGCATTTCTGTCCTCAGGCACAACAGAATTTGTAGAAAAGCAGCTTCGATATCTGCAGCAAATGCTATTTTGTGTTGACGAAATTTAATTAGCAAATCTAATAATTCAGGGTTTAAATTTGGTCCTGAATGTAAGCAATCATTTAAAGATAGACTGTCATGAGTATGCGAGGAAGCATCAAATACGACCCTTAATTTCGTAGAATCGTGATCTTCTCTGATTACACAATGGTGTGGCAAATAATAGATATTTTCTTCAGAATTCTTCGGAGCCTTTTCAGCTATTCCTTTATTTAGATAATCTTCAATTACCCTTGAATACTTGCCATAAATTTCAGGATTTTTCTTAAACCTTCTAAGTAAACTGTTCCATCTGTTTAAGGCGATGTTATAATTACTACCTATTTTGTTCATATTGCCCTTCCAAGGTAATGAAACTTCATAACGATTGGTTTTATATTCAATAGTTTCTTCAAATCTACGCATAACTTCAGTGTCATTTTCATTTGCTGAATAGTCATGTATTCCAATTGCATCTAAATCCCATAGCCTTTTTAGAGCTGCACTAATTTCCAAATCATGTGGATGTGAAGTATTCTCAACAACATTCATTACCGTAATTCCGGAACGAAGTGTAGAAACATTACTTAATGCCTCAGTTCCACTTATAGTGTAACCAAATAAGGTTTCAGAGGCAACAAGACCCTTTGATAATCTTTTAACCTTCCCAGTGACTATTTTCCAGTAATAATCATTACCAATTAATACTGATATTTGAGAGTTATGGACACCTATATCTGTAGCATCAGCAAGTCTTATCGAATTTTCCTTACAATAATTAAGTATTTCCTTTCCTGGCATACCAATAACAGCTTGATTAATTTCTGGAGTTTCAAGAGCTTCAATTATTATTTTCCCAGGTCCACATATATCTTTAAGAATAACCTTAACCTTTTTTAGCCTTTTAACTGTAGGCTCAGTAGAGGCGAAGGTGTAAATCTGAAGTTCTTCTTCCCCCACAACACTTAATTTTTAATTGTTTTGATACTTCTGTCAGGATGAAAGATTTATGAGAGGCAGAATCGAAAATGAGTCTTACATTTTTTCTTCTATTCTGACCTAAAGCTATTGCATTTGCAGTTTGTAAATAAACCCTTATTTTTGTTATCTCTTTCCGAAATTGACGCCACCACTGTGTCTGTTTTAAGCTCACCTTTATTTTCCCGTTTATTTTCAAATTTATTATCATGTAAAATAGTATTATGCCTTAATGAACATAAATCACAGCGTATATCCGAGCTGCAACGGGCAGATGTATGAGACTTACGAAAGCATAAATAGCATCTGTTAGCCAATTTTAATTTTTTTCTTTTTTCCTCAATTGGAATTGCGCAGTTTGAAGTAGAATGTTTCAAAGATTCATTTTCTATCTTCCCACAAAATATACAATCAGCTGTTGATGTATTCGTATTCAACGACGCAACTGCTGGAACAAAATGTTTGTTTTTGAAGGCAGTATGATATTTCTCACTTTTAATAAGGTCTCGCGATTGATGTTTATGTTGTTCGGTTCTAATGTTAAACTCGGAATAGTTTGGAAAAACGTATGTTTGGAAAAACGATGTTTGGAAAAACGTACGCTCTCTGCTTTCAACTTCCTTCTTCAGAAATTCCAAAATGTTAGTCACTGTGGTTTCTGTGTCAGGGGTTTTAAAGATCGATTAAACTCTAAAAAACCAATTCGCTAGGAAGTATTCCTCATTAACAGTGGGCATAACAAAAAATAGCTGTAAGAATTCGAAGTAACGTTAAGGGAATCAAGGCTTCTAATTTCAATTTCTAAGCTTATCATATAAGTTACGTAATGTTTTAATATCATCGATTTTTTTGAGCCCAAACTGGCTTTAAATTCAGCAGACGATTCATATGTGCATTTATTAAAATGTCCTTTCTACCAAACCTTTCTTTCAGAATATTTATTGCCTTAGCATAATTTTCGGCAACTAACGGTAATCCCTTTATTGACATTAACGCTGTGTCCGTTAGTAAAGATGTGAGGTAATTAAATTTGTCTACATCCTTTAAAGCAGAGTTATTATGTATAGCAGATTCGTATTGAGCCCAAAAACTTTGAAATTCACATATTTCGCCTTTAAATTTATTTATGGTTAGTTTCGGAAGTTTAGCGCCATTTGTATTTGTGTTCTCTACCGTATCTATAGTAACAGAATTAGATGGCAACTCATTTAATTTAACACATTTTCTATTTCTAAATATTCTACTGATCTTCGATTTACACAAGGTAATTTTATTTTTATATTCCAAGCTATCCTGTATTTCAGTTTCGTACTCTTTTTCATCTGTTAGGATAGATTCAATTTCAGAGTTCAATATTAGTATATCGTTTTCATTTTCATTTAATATGGATAAATCAAATTTAATATTATCCGATTCTATTTCCTTTTCCATTTTAGCTATCAGTCTTGTTACTGATGCTCTTAACATTCCTCGCTTCTTTTTCAGTGCTTTTAACTTATCCATCTTAATAATCAATATTCAATCACTAATCGAACAATATTAAATACTTAAATCACAATATATCTTAAGATCACTGTTATCGCGGAATTTCGGCACCATGTTGTAACTTATGATCTTTTTTTTTTCTTATTCTTATTATTTACATTTAATAACATCAATAAGTGAAAGTTTGCTTACCTTTCTTAATAAATATCCACAGGAACGCTTGGAATTCCTTTTCATTTTTATCACAAAGAAGTTTTATTTACAGCTATGTACAAGAATTGTATGCTTACATTAGAACATTCATCATGTTTTTCTGGTTGCCACTATATCTATCTCAAAAATCCGCAATGCGGTAAGAAAAATATAACAAGCTAAAAGTAAAAAACGCTGCGCCCTCTCGTGGCCAGCTACATAAACTGTAACACCTGTAGACATTTCATAAAGAAAAAAGTAGCGATATTGTTGCAACTCACAGGGCTACAACGTGCAGGTTACAAATTAAATAATCACAGCAGGGATTATTAATATAAAGATTTAATATGGATATCTCACACAAGCTGAAAACGTTACATTACTTTAACTAGTGCATACATAACTGAGTGAAAAGGGAATTTCCCCGCTTAGTTCGCAATTAAAGGAAAAAAAAGAATAATAAAAAATAGTTCAGTCAGATGCGGCGCTCCATCTGTTGACCTTCGCCGAGCCGTTATGTAATCGTCTGTCTGCAGCGGCCGTCTCCAACATTCTCCCCCTCTTTGAGTCGACTTCAGGTTGGCTCAAAGACA